AAGAGTCAAGACAGCACCCCCAAAAGGGTCCCAATGCCAAGATCCATCCCTAGCTTCAGCCAGTTTTGGGTTAATGGGCATGTCCGTGCTCAGGGAGGTCTCATCCTGAACTTCCCCATATGAGTCAGCTTCCTGGTGTCACTTTTTAGTGCTTTACCATCCTCTGCACCCCCTATTTATTTGTTAAATAATATTGTATCATTTTAGAGAGCAACAATAATGATACTGTTTGTTGCAAGGAAAGTAATAATTAGGGCTGAATTATATCCTGGAACAAACCCTAGGAAGTGTTAACTCTCCAGGTTGGAACTAATGTGAGGTGCTTAATATTGCTGTTATTTCCCCAGTTCCTGTAAAACCATCTGTGACTGAAGAAAGGAACATGGAATCTGAGCAACCTAATACATCAAAAAAGGTTACTGAGGAAGAGCTGGAAGACTGGTTGGACAGTATGATTTCCTGAGAAAGAAAGAAGAAAAAGGGCCTGAAGCCAATGTTGGTTGCCTTCTAAGTAAGGGCAGGCACCAGACTCCTTCAGGAACAGGGAGTTTGCATGCATGCCCCAAGCCAGTGTGTTCCATCACGCTTACAGCAGTGAATGCTACCTCTCTGACAGCAGCTAACATAATACATGTTAGGGGCTTGTTGCATTTGTCTTCGGGCTTAGCAATCTGATAGATTTCTTTAAGGGCAGGGGATGTTATGGCCCTTATTTCCAGCCTCCTTCCTCTCAATGTTTACAGAATTGCAGGTGCTGCTGTATAAGAGAATGGATGTAAGCATTTGGCCAAAATAAACAAACGCTGTGCTATGGGTATTTTGTCTCACTTTCCTTTCCCCAGCCATTGCAGGATGATTGCAGAATTAACCATAAGGGGTGCAGTGGAAGAGCCGAGCCGTGGATTGGTATGTATTACTTTATTGCAGTGGGCACTTCATTTTACTTGAGGAGATTCACCTAAACACAGCAGCTCCACTACTTTACAATGGACCAGAAAGCATTACTCAATTTTGGCATAAGATTGAGATTTTTCTGAATTTTCAGTACAGTACTTTTCTTCTAATAACAGCAGTTGACAAGCTGTTACTGAAAAAAATATGAATAACCTTCAAGTGCAGTTTCATAAAGTAAAGCAGAAGATCAACACAACTAATGGGATCCTTCAGAAACACAAACATAAAAAACTTGCATAGCTATATCTAAAGAGGTTTTAAGGCACTTAATCGATATTTCAGTGTCGACAAAGTGGTGTTTTTTTTTTTAACTGCTTAAAGCTTTTTTAGCTGATTCTGGATACAGTCACTAGCAAGTACCATGAGAAAAATTAGACTGCAGTTAAAATGATTTTCGTGTAGTTCAGACCACAAGTTTAGTAGGTGGGATCCTGAAATATGACATTCAGGTGTTTGAAATGTCAGGTATTATGCATTCGAGACTTTTTCTTCAATGTGATCACTCCAGTTAGTTACATTAAGACTGAAAACTTGAAGGCATTCATGTACCATTGTCTTTGAGCATCCTTTTTTGACAACTTGTCTTCCACAGTGTTTGTCCATTAGGCACAAAAAGCGAAATCCAAAATATCAGAGTGTAACAAAGACTTTCTTCTGAGGGAGGCATTTAGAAAATGTCACATTTCTAATATGTTACAGGACTATAAAATATTTTTTTCAACTAGAAAATGGATCATCCAGAATTAGAGCTTTTTTCATTCATATTTATCCAAGCTGATCTTCATATTGTTTACGAAAGCAGTCACCAGCTGGGAAGAAGTCCCAACACCTCTCTTGGTACATCTTCCAGACGTAAGATTCCTGAAATAGGTGAAGAAAGGTACTTCTTTGTAAACTACAGTAACCTGGAACCCAGTTTGTCCCTCCAGGACTACGGCTGTGACTCTAGATGAGGCACACTGGAGCACCCCTTTCTCATGTTGCTCCCAGCCCAGGCTGTGTTGTGGGAGCAAGATGGCATGTCTCCCTGACAGTGTGGACAGGGGAGGAGAAAATTCCCCTCCCTTATCCCAAAACAAAATGGAAGGCAGCTCAATGTTTGCCACTGAATGTACTTAAGGATGGAAGAATGGGCTGCTTCCATGTCATTTGCAATTGGTGGAAGACAGAAGAAGGTACAATGAGGGAACATTGAGTGCTGGCTCTGGCGGGTGCCTGGAGCTAGATCTGGAAGGCAGCTGCTTCGCTCATTTTCCTACAGACACAGTGATTTCTGAATACTGGATGACCAACTTTTCCCTCCCCTGTTTTCTACCTTTACAGTGCTTGTCACATCCTTCCACTCATCCCCTCACCTCCGCCCTCCCTCTGTTACCCCTCCCTCCAGGGCCGCTCTTTCTCATGCTGTCTCCCACCCTATTTTACTCTGATTCCTCTGCTCTTTGTTACCACCACCCTCTCCATTTCTCATTTTTCTCCCCCTAGTTCCCCCCACCTCCAGCTATTCTAGTCTGAAGCAGTAACCATAAGTGTGTGTGTACAGGGAAGGATAACCAAGAGGAATTTTGGAACAGAGCGAGATCACCATAGAATTCTATTTCTTATTAAGTCACAAAGAAGTGATGAAACAAAATGCATGCAAGAGACTAATGGGGTCATCTATCTCAGGTATCTTGTGTTTTGCTAAGTCCTAAGAGCTAACACAGTGATATGATTCTTAATCAAAGGCTCTTTCTTTCTTACCTGACCTGTGTGTTCTGTTTCATCTTTATTAATCAGATACATCAGAAAGAACCTGGGAAAAGGTATAGGAAGAAAACAGATACTTTAAGAGATCTAAGTTCATTTACTTAATTGAAACAGGATTCAAAAATATTTGGCATCATGCTGTCCACAGTACTTTTAAGAATCAGGGAAATAGTATAAAGATAGAAATCCCGCTTTTCTAATAGTAAGAGACCATCTCAAAATTAGCATGTGTATGAATACAGATCCTATTTACCATTCCCAAACCCTGAACTATAATCACCCACAAAGCAGTGTTCTGGCTACCATTTTATTGTTTAAAAAAATCCTAATCTAGGGGCCAGCAGGTGGCATAGTGGTTGAGGTACTGGACTCCCCCATGGCTGACTGATTCAAGTCCCGGACCTGGAGGTCTACTTTCCTATTTTCCCTTTCTTTAGTCAAATTAAATAATTCTTTAAGAAAAAAAAAATCCTAAACAATGGAGTGGAAGCCCAATTTCCTACCAGATACTTTTTTTAAAAAAAAGTTTTTTCCTTTGTTTCTTCCAAAGAAAAACAGCACCTCCAACAGGGTTCCTGTGCCATGATTCACACCCAGCCTCAGCCAGCCCCGGATTACAGGCAAGTGTGCACCCATGTCGGGCAGGTCTCTGAATGTGAACCTGGAACCCTCCCACAGGGGCTACTTTGCAGACAACCATGTTTTACTGCTGTGCCACGGTCTAGTCCCACCATGTAACTGTTAGTAGGGCCAGTTTACTCTCTAAACTGAAATTACATGCGTGTCTCAAGGGTATCTGTCATGGAAAAGGCAGAAAGTATCTAAGCTGCTCTGATTCTGGAGGTATAGTTTTATTGTGGACAATTGGGAGATGCCTATTAGTGTCATCTCTAACCATGATGTGTGGCTAAGGTAGACATCTTAGTGACAAAGAAGTACCCCACAAGGCTGGGGCTGAACTCTCAGTTCACATTTCATGGGCTCAGAGGTGGTTTCTGAAGGAACAAGTCTCAGCCCTTCAGGAAAAGGACTGTATTGTGAGGCCAGTGGTAAGGAAAAGGGTAGAAATAGCATTCTTCAGAGGGTGGGGAGAGACTTTATGTTCCTTTAGATTAGGCCTGTCTTTATAGCTTCAGGTCCTGGCCCACAGCAGTGAACATACGATTCCTTCCCCACTCTAAGAAGGCACAGCCCGTATGCTCATCATGTGTGAGACTCAGGCATGTAGGACCTTACTCCCTTAGGTAACAAAGCTCCAGTTCAGGTGCCAGTTTTTTTTTTTTTTTTTTGGAGAGGTTTTCTCTACAGGGCGCGTGCGCTCGCCAGACAGAGAGAGACATAGAGACAGAAAGCGAGAAGTCACCCCCCAGGGGGGATGGTCATGCCGCAATCCCTTCTCCTCCATTCTCCTCTCAGGATCTTGGGCACGCATGCACACGCGCCCGGCGTGAGTTTTAAGCTACCGGGTCTGGGACGCGAACCGCAGTCGACTACGTGGGAGTCCAGCGACATAGCCATTACGCTAACTGCTGGTTCCCAGGTGCGAGGTTTAATTATGAATAAAATGGATTCTTTCCCCTCAGGCTTATTGCTGGAAGGGGTCAGAGACAGGAAAAGATCACCACTGCACAGAGAAACCTGGGTAAGACCTAGAGAGGAGGCCCCAGTCTAGATAACCTCCATCCTCTCATGTGGGGACAGTGCTGTGGGCAATTTTTCAATTTTGCGGAAATAGGGCAATAGCTAAAAGTAAAAAGAGGGTCACAGACTTTTCTTTCTTTGGGATGCAAAACATTTGTATGGTGATAGGAAATACCCAGGAGAGAAAGAAATGTCTGATT